CTAACCCGACTCAGTGGCAGAGAGTTTAGTGATGTCATTTGATTGTGATGTCATGCTAATTGATGACATAACAATGGTCTGCAACACATGGGGCGCGTTGCAAGCCACGAATCACTTTGAGCAAGCAAATTAATCGCTCACCCCGGGGTCTACAACAGTTCGAAGTGCTTGCGCATTCTCCCAAAATGGCGGCGCAAGTACCGCTTGGCTGCCTAGATGGAAGGAAGAATGTAATAGCAGAGGCTCAATGACGAGCTGATGAAATTTATGACTACTTTGAAGATGTGGAGCAGAATGGGGATGATGGGTGTCAGCTGCCCTCCCACATTTCTCGTTGATCCAGTCAAGATTTTCTTGTTCCGCTGTCAAAGACAGCCGATATTTTGGTTTGAGAACGAAATGACCTCAGCCAGTGATTATTTCACTTGCAAGCGGCTGAAAGTTAGCGCACTGTTGTAAGGCAAATCGCTGTACATTGCTTGCAAGCGATTGGTGCTTTGCAACACGCCACGGGTGATGCACTTCATTGCTGTGTTTGAAATAAAACCCTACAAGACAGAAGGGCAGGGGGCCAATAAATGTTGACTTCACATCTTCAAAGTTACCTGTCTGCATTCAGACATTATAAACATTGAAATGTCGTGAAAAATAAGAGACGAATCGAATATTGATTCTGTAGAAATAATGCTAACAATAAATTGAGAATCCACCGGGAGGCATAACAAAACTGAATACATAAGTAGTCTAAATACTATCTGCCAGACAGTCGGACAAGTGGAGGTCAATTTCACGAAGGCCGCTAGAAAAGTTACCAGCCTTGGGCCTGAGGGCAGGCAGCTATATCAGACACTGCTTCACAGTAGCGCGATCTCCGAGGGGTCTGAGGAGAATACTTTGAGACCAGCAACCTCATGCAGAGAGTAGAGCAATCTCATGCAGTGAGTACAGCAACCTCATGCAGAGAGTACAGCAACCTCATGCAGAGAGTACAGCAACCTCATGCAGAGAGTACAGCAACCTCATGCAGTGAGTGCTGCAACCTCATGCAGTGAGTACAGCAACCTCATGCAGAGAGTACAGCAACCTCATGCAGTGAGTACAGCAACCTCATGCAGTGAGTACAGCAACCTCATGCAGTGAGTACAGCAACCTCATGCAGAGAGTACAGCAACCTCATGCAGTGACTACAGCAACCTCATGCAGTGACTACAGCAACCTCATGCAGTGAGTACAGCAACCTCATGCAGTGGGTACAGCAACCTCATGCAGTGAGTACAGCAACCTCATGCAGAGAGTACAGCAACCTCATGCAGAGAGTACAGCAACCTCATGCAGTGAGTACAGCAACCTCATGCAGAGAGTACAGCAACCTCATGCAGAGAGTACAGCAACCTCATGCAGTGAGTACAGCAACCTCATGCAGTGAGTACAGCAACCTCATGCAGTGAGTACAGCAACCTCATGCAGTGAGTACAGCAACCTCATGCAGTGAGTACAGCAACCTCATGCAGTGAGTACAGCAAGCTCATGCAGTGAGTACAGCAAGCTCATGCAGTGAGTACAGCAAGCTCATGCAGAGAGTACAGCAAGCTCATGCAGTGAGTACAGCAACCTCATGCAGTGAGTACAGCAAGCTCATGCAGTGAGTACAGCAACCTCATGCAGTGAGTACAGCAACCTCATGCAGAGAGTACAGCAAGCTCATGCAGTGAGTACAGCAACCTCATGCAGAGAGTACAGCAACCTCATGCAGAGAGTACAGCAACCTCATGCAGTGAGTACAGCAACCTCATGCAGAGAGTACAGCAACCTCATGCAGAGAGTACAGCAACCTCATGCAGTGAGTACAGCAAGCTAGGCATCGATTTTCCATGTTTACACCACCAACAACCACTCTGTCTGACAGATTAAGTTGGGCATACCTTTGGTCTATAAATCTCTGTGATTATAAATAATCCTACATGAGATGAAGCGATTTGTTTCCAGGTAATATCCCCTGCGTACCTACGAGCGACTTATGATATACATCTCCCTATCAGGTGTTACTAATCCAGCATTAGTTGGTAAGGTGAAATGGGGTTTATTGTCACGTCCACGGTTATGGCACTTATATAGCGACACGCATGTGTGTGTGTGTGTGCTCTGTGTGTGTGTGTGTGTGTGTGTGTGTGTGTGTGTGTGTGTGTGTGTGTGTGTGTGTGTGTGTGTGTGTGTGTGTGTGTGTGTGTGTGTGTGTGTGTGTGTGTGTGTGTCTGCTTGCTCTCGTCCGGACTGATGCCGATTCTATAGTGCAAGCTCACTGAGATACCATCCCACAGTTTAACATGAATACCCCACTCAGACACAGTATACTGACTCCAAGCCTACCAATCCTTGTTTTAGCCCCTTTATGCCGAGCACCAGACAGGGAAACAACAAGTACCACTTTAACGTCTTTTGGTATGACGCGGCCGGGGATCGAAGCCCGGACCTTCCACTCTCCTTTAGGGTATAGATTCAATACCACCAAATCACCAGACTCGTGAGGATCCAGGTTAGAATTGGTGTTCAGCAACCCATGCTTGCCGTAAAAAGCGACCATGCTTGTCGTAAGAGGTGACTAACGGAATCGGGTGGTCAGGCTTGCTGACTTGCTTGTCGTAAGAGGTGAATAACGGGATCGGGTGGTCAGGCTTGCTGACTTGCTTGTCGTAAGAGGTGACTAACGGGATCGGGTGGTCAGGCTTGCTGACTTGCTTGTCTTAAGAGGTGACTAACGGGATCGGGTGGTCAGGCTTGCTGACTTGCTTGTCGTAAGAGGTGACTAACGGGATTGGGTGGTCAGGCTCGCTGACTTGGTTGATGCATGTCATCATATCCCAATAGCATCTGGTCCAGACTCAATTATTTACAGACCGCCATCATATAGCTGGAATATTGCTGAGTGCAGCGTTAAACAACAAACAACAACAACCAAACCACTGGACCTCAAGATCCTATCAGTTGTATAAACATTGAAACAAACTGTGAAGGTAACTTTGGAATCCAATTAGTACATGTCCTAGAAACTGAACTGATCTGAAACCCAGTGTCTCATACTGGCTTTGCTTCACATAACTTTCTTTCATAGGGTGCAACCTGGTTTTGTGTTGTGCAACCTGGTTTTGTTTGGCACAACTTGGTTTTGTGTTGTGCAACTTGGTTTTGTTTGGCACAACTTGGTTTTGTGTTGTGCAACTTGGTTTTGTTTGGCACAACTTGGTTTTGTGTTGTGCAACCTGTTTTTGTTTGGCACAACTTGGTTTTGTGTTGTGCAACTTGGTTTTGTTTGGCACAACTTGGTTTTGTGTTGTGCAACTTGGTTTTGTTTGGCACAACTTGGTTTTGTGTTGTGCAACCTGGTTTTGTTTGGCACAACTTGGTTTTGTGTTGTGCAACTTGGTTTTGTTTGGCACAACTTGGTTTTGTGTTGTGCAACCTGGTTTTGTTTGGCACAACTTGGTTTTGTGTTGTGCAACCTGGTTTTGTTTGGCGCAACTTGGTTTTGTGTTGTGCAACTTGGTTTTGACGAGCAACCTGGTTTTGTTTGATGCAACTTGGTTTTGTTTGTTGCAACTTGGTTTTGTGTTGTGCAACCTGGTCTTGTGTTGTGCAACTTGGTTTTGTGTTGAGCAACCTGGTTTTGTTTGGCGCAACCTGGTTTTGTGTTGTGCAACTTGGTTTTGTGTTGAGCAACCTGGTTTTGTTTGGCGCAACCTGGTTTTGTTTGGCGCAACTTGGTTTTGTGTTGTGCAACTTGGTTTTGTGTTGTGCAACCTGGTTTTGTGTTGTGCAACCTGGTTTTGTTTCATGCAACTTGGTTTTGTGTACTTGGTTTTGTGTTGTGAAACCTGGTTTTGTGTTGTGCAACCTGGTTTTGTGTTGAGCAACCTGGTTTTGTGTTGAGCAACCTGGTTTTGTGTTGAGCAACCTGGTTTTGTGTACTTGGTTTTGCGTTGAGCAACCTGGTTTTGTGTACTTGGTTTTGTGTTGAGCAACCTGGTTTTGTGTTGAGCAACCTGGTTTTGTGTACTTGGTTTTGTGTTGTGCAACTTGGTTTTGTGTTGAGCAACCTGGTTTTGTGTTGAGCAACCTGGTTTTGTTTTGCGCAACTTGGTTTTGTGTTGTGCAACTTGGTTTTGTGTTGTGCAACTTGGTTTTCATGTCAACATGCACCTGGCAGCTAGTTGTCACTCTCCCTATGATGATAGACATATATATTTCGTTGAGTAAACCATTCACAAGACCTCATCCCCCCTAAATATGTTAACATTAATTCATCATGACACAGCCATGGTAATACATCATAAAATTTAAACGTAGTATATATTTTTGTATGAATAAATCTGATATTGTGAGAAATGTTAGCATCAAAGTGATTGTACAAATATCGATACACCCATGGCGAGGCTGGCTATTTGGAGCAAAATCTAAATCTGTATATTCCAATGTGATTACTAATTATTATGTCATTTCAAAATAGCATGACATGTCGTGACGTCAGTTCAGTTGGTGAGACACAGCCAGGGGAGTTCTCCCTTCAAGAAAAGTGTGTGTCTATAGTCTGTACAGACAGACAGCATGGTCAGTAGTGCTTGAATTGAAACATGAAACTCAAGCAACAGTGTTTGAAATTAACCATGACAGTCCATCAAGAAGTCCATGTCATAAGCCAAATGCCAAAGTTAATGATTTAGATCCTCTAGTTTCCAATACCATGGGAGCGGGTCTCAATGCCTTGTCATAAGCCTAATCATAAACCTCTCTGGTGGTCACTTGTACGCAAGACGGGAGAGCCGTCTCACGTACACGTTACGTCCTCTACTGCTAATGTTTAAGTTAAATATATCGGGGTTCCTGGAATCGAAAATCACCAGAGAAGACTTCAATGACCCCAGAGACGCCTTAATTTCAAACACTGGTTGAGAGAAAAATTGACATAATCTTCCTGAAAAAAAAGATGTAATGAAAATTGTTCTTACCGACTTGAGTATCTGACTGTAGGATATGGAGCTCTGGCGTGAGATTATATCCACATCCCGCTCCTGACCAGATTCCACGTTGCTAGGATACAGATCCGGGAACTCACTATCATCCTCGAAATGTAACGTAACATCAGAAGTACGCGACACATTTGAGCTTGAGAATGTCCTCCCCGTAGCAGACAATCCATCGCTTTGTCCCCCATCCTCTTGCGTCCTCTTCTTCCTCTTTCTGTTTCTCCGTCTTCGACGTTTCTTCCCCCCCTCCGCCTTCTGCGCGCCCTCATTAACATCCGATTCATTATTTACAGTTATCACAGTAACTGGGCTTTGAGAAGGTAGATTTGTGTTATCACAGGTTGCGATGAGCTCTGACGCAGCAACATCGCTGTAACTTAACGTTCTCCGCGTACCAGGTTTTTGTTGAGCAATTGTTGCGTAAGTCAGTTGCTGCCCACTTTGAGGTGACAGGTTGCTATGGTTACGTCCAAACAGGTTGCGGCCATGTTCCTGCTCTGGTTGCGCAGGAAGTAACAAGGGACCGACTGGGTCGGTTCCGTTGGAGCGAACATTTCTCCGATGTAAGGGACTACTGTATCCACTGTCGGAATCCACCTCCGAGTCCGACGTATAAGACACATGATTGGAATCGTAACTGTTTTTATCCTTTCTCTTCCATGAATGGGAAACAGTGTACAAGGCATTTGGTCTTTGGGACAGGGTCAAGGCAGCCAGTTCGTCTGAGAAATCTGAAACAGTCAGAAGGCAATTGTGGAGTCAGCGAGGGAGCTTCCAGTGGGAGTATTCCTCATTGACTAGGTGAGGTGAAATGGGGTTTAACGTCGCGTCCAAGATTATTGCACTTATATAGCGACGTGCATGTACATGTGTGTGTGGCTGCTTGTACTAGTCCGGACTGATGCCGATTTATAGTGCTAGCTCACTGAGATACCATGCCGCAGTTTAACATGAATATCCCACCAAGACACAGTATACTGACTCCGAGCCGACCAGTCCTTGTTTTAGCCCCTAAATGCCGAGCGCCAGACAGGGTAACAAGGAGTACCATCTTTTAACGCCTTTTGGCATGACGCGGTCGGTGATCGAACCCCGGACCTTCCGCTCTCCGGGCGTTCCTCATTGACTAGGAGCAGGTGAGGGCTATGAAGTAGAATTCTGAACCAGTTCTTAACAATTAATTTTGTACCAATAATTGGAACAGAATAAAACTGATAGAAATGAAAATTTAGAAAATGTAAAATTAGTTGGGCTGCAAATAGAATCGTATCACGAATATAGGGTAACGAGTATGAATATTAATACACTAATACAATAACAAGTCAGCAGTCGATGTATAATTTGTTACATTCAGTGAAACAATAACAACATAAATTATTTGACATGGTTTGTTAATTATTAACATATTATACATTTATATACTGCACTTATCCAAGTATTTGTATCTGCTCAAAGGCGACATTGAACAGTGACCACAATACTGTCAAATTAAATGTTATAAGAGTGTTGTCTTCAATGAAATCTATGCATATACTTATGGATATTTTTAGGTACAGGGAATGTAAATGCACAAGATTGCATATTTTATAAATATTCGATTCTAGTGGTCATGAATAACAAATTCTATTCATGAATAGATACGGTTAGATTCACTGAATACGCGAGTTCATCATAACAGCCCTAAAAATTAGTCAAAATTTTTGTCCTGAGGACCAGTGAGTGAGTGGGTATTGTTTTACGCCGCTTTTAGCAATATTCCAGCAATATCACGGCGGGGGACACCAGAAATGGGCTTCACACATTGTACCCATGTCGGGAATCGAACCCGGGTCTTCGGCGTGACGAGCGAACGCTTTAACCACTAGGCTACCCGACCGCCCCTGAGGACCCGTGGAATGCGGTCCCACTAGTCCTTTCACATACATGTAGTATGGAGGCTGTACAAGTGGTTCTTCTCAAAGGACCACTTTCCTTGCATTCTGCAGGACATAACTGAAATTATCATAAATAAAAGATCACCTGTTTGAACGGAAATATCTTTACAAATGATTGTCCGAGGTCTTGATCTTGATTTACTGTCGTCATGACAACCAACAAATGAGTTGTTCGGCCATGTTTTCCCATGATTCTGTGCTGAGGTGGTGTATGTCATGGAGTCGACCTGATTGCTTTTCTGAAAGATGGCACGGGGTCTCAAGATAAACATTCACCAAGTGGGATAATAAACATGACTTGGATTACATTACAGCCATGTTATTACTCAATGGGTGCACTACGATCCTCCATCTCCACCATCCCCTCAAACAGCGGTAAGAGGTTCGCAACGCCCATACTTTAACATAGGATAATGATAGTCACAGCTCTAAGATGATCGTAACTTCCATACTTTAACATAGGATAATGATAGTCACAGGTCTAAGATGATCGTAACTCCCATACTTTAACATAGGATAATGATAGTCACAGCTCTAAGATGATCGCAACGCCCATACTTTAACATAGGATAATGATAGTCACAGCTCTAAGATGATCGTAACTCCCATACTTTAACATTGGTTGTTGGTTTGTTGGTTTACGCCGCACTCAGCAATATTCCAGCCATATGACAGCGGACTGTAAATAATCGAGCCTGGACCAGGCAATCCAGTGATTGATATCATGCGTATCAATCCACGCAATTGGGATACGATGACATGCATCAACCAAGTCTGCGAGCCTGACCACCCGAACCCATTAGTCGCCTCTTACGACAAGCATAGTCACCTTTTGCGACAAGCATGAGTTGCTGAAGATCTATTCTACCCCGGATCTTCCATACTTTAACATAGGATCATGTTTGTCACAGCTCTAAGATGATCGCAACTCCCATACTTTAACATTGGATTATGATAGTCACAGCTCTGAGATAATCGTAACTCCCATACATTAACATAGGATTATAATAGTCACAGCTCTAAAATGATCGTAACTCCCAGAGTTCAGCACAGGCATACGACAGGCGTAGCACTAAGATGATCGTCACTTCCATAGTTCAACACAGACATACGACAGGCGTAGCGCTAAGATGATCGTAACTCCAAGAGTTCAACACAGGCAAACGACTGGCGTAGCACTAAGATGACCGTAACTCCCTGAGTTTAACACAGACATACGACTGGCGTAGCGCTAAGATGATCGTAACTCCAAGAGTTCAACACAGGCATACGACTGGCGTAGCGCTAAGATGATTGTAACTCCCTGAGTTTAACACAGACATACTACTGGCGTAGCGCTAAGATGATCGTAACTCCCAGAGATCAACACAGGCATACGACAGGCGTAGCGCTAAGATTGCTCTGTAGAGTCTTACCCTAGTAACTTACCAAACTTGATGAGAACTTGTTTCCTGGTGAATTATGAAAGTTATTCCACGCAGATGGTGAAGATATCTGTTGATGTATTGAGCTCATACCAAACATTCCATAGCTAGTACTGTATCCATTCATTCCCGGCTGCCCAAAGTTGGGGGGGAACACGGGGGTAGGTAGTAAGCCATCCCCCATGCCCGTCACTGTACCCCCATCAAACGTCCTCCCTGACATGGCCTGGACGGGTGGCACGTAGCCCTGTACATTGGTGGACCACTGCTGACTAGGGAAGGAGGCACCGCCGACACCACGGCCCCGTGACTTGCCTCCTCGACCTTCACAATACAACAGGGAGTGACTTAGTAAAACAACACGAGACTTAGTGAAAACAGGACCTGACTTAGTAGAAACAGCATGTGACAACAGTAAAACAACATGTGACACAGCAAAACAAGGTGTGACACAGTAAAACAACATGTGACAGTAAAACAAGGTGTGACACAGTAAAACAGCATGTGACAGTAAAACAACATGTGACACAGTAAAACAAGGTGTGACAGAGTAAATCATGTGACAACAGTAAAACAACATATGGCTTAGCAAACCACATGTGACACAGTAATACAACATGTGACACAGTAAAACAACATATGGCAAAGCAAACCACATGTGACACAGTAAAACAACATGTGACACAGTAAAACAACATGTGACACATAAAACAGCATGTGACACAGTAAAACTGCATGTGACACAGTAAAACAGAATTGACAGTAAAACAGCATGTGACACCGTAAAACATGCGACACACAGTATATTTTACACACAAAAATATTAAAGAGAAAATGAAAGCATTTGACTGTTAAGTAAATTAGACTGTCACCTGTAAATGCCCTTCCGGTGCCACGCCCACGTCCCACGCCAGGCGCCCCCCACTTGGTGGTCCCCCTGAAACATGAAACAATTCCAGGCTACTGGTTAGCATCTGTCCGACAACAGGCACAGGGAGGCGGAGGCGGAGGAGGTGGATTGGTTGGTTTGTTGTTTAACGCTGCACTCAGCAATATTCCAGCTGTATGACGGCGGTCTGTAAATAATCGAGTCTGGACAATCCAGTGACAATCCAGTGATTAATATCATGAGCATCGATCCACACAATTGGGATCGATGACGTGCATCAACCAAGTCAGCGAGCCTGACCACCCGATCCCGTTAGTCGCCTCTTACGACAAGCATAGTCACCTTTTGCGACAAGCATGGGTTGCTGAAGACCTATTCTACCTGGGATCTTCACGGGTCAGGCGGAGGATAAGGAAGAGGAGGAGGAGGAAGAGGAGGAGGACAAGTTCTCCCCATGGTTTCTGTTTGCCGCTCATTGCCAGAAATGTACCGGTAAAATAGGCCAGGGACGGTAAAACAAAACAGGATCGGCAGTAAATATGACATTATTATCTTGAAATCAAACTCTTGACCAAATCTTTCTTGGACTAAATGCTCTCTTAAAACTGAAATATGTCTCAGTATGCTGTTACTACAACCGCACAGGAAATTCCAAGTTTATATTTAGCCAAGCTCACCCATTGGTCGACATGTATAACATGCTGTCTCGTTGCCAACAGGTGAACATTGACACAGCATTGTTTTGAGGCTAACATTGCGGTAAAGTAGACAATTTTTTTAAGTTTGATTCATTGATAAAAGAAAAACAAGATTCAGAAGAGGCGTGGTGATACAAACACAATGAGTAATGATACACGGCCTAATGAGACGAGCTCAACGTCGGCCATAGCCTAAACTAAGTTGGTTGGTTGGTTTGTTGTTTAACGCCGCACTCAGCAATATTCCAGCTATATGATGGCGGTGTGTAAATAATCGAGTCTGGACCAGACAATCCAGTGATTGACATCATGAGCATTAGATGACATGCATCATCAACCAAGTCAGCGAGCCTGACCACCCGATCCTGTTAGTCGTCTTTTACGGCAAGCGTGGGTTGCTGAAGACCCATTCTACCCCGGAATCTTCACGGGTCCGAAAACTAAGTCCTCAACACGAATGATTTAAGGAATTCCAATGGTTGTGAAAATGCAAGTTAAGAAAATGACAGTATGAGTGGGGTGATATTTGTACATGTAATTTTCAAGGACAGAAACAATAATGTTTGGACAATAATAAAGCTTGATGTGCTGTCGGTCTATTGGCCTGGTTAATCTAACACTGTATGGGTACACCCCCTCGTCAATCCATGGCGAGGATCAATTGTTCAAACCCATCGACTCTTCTGGTCAAACAAATCTAGAAACAGAATCGGGGCGAACCAGGATTCGAACCCACAATCATAGGTTTCTGGCGTGTCCAAGGGACGCAACTCTGCACAGCGAATGGCGGCGTCTTAGACGACTGGACCACCCAGTGTGGTTAGACACCCCCCAGTGTTACCGCCCTCCCTCCACCCAGTGTGGTTAGACACCCACCCAGTGTTACCGCCCTCCCTCCACCCAGTGTGGTTAGACACACCCCAAGTGTTACCGCCCTCCCCCCCACCTAGTGTGGTTAGACGCACCCCCAGTGTTACCGCCCTCCCTCCACCCAGTGTGGTTAGACACCCCCCCCCCCCAGTGTTACCGCCCTCCCTCCACCCAGTGTGGTTAGACACCCCCCCAGCGTTACCACCCTCCCTGAACCAGACAAGGGTAGTTAACGGACAGCCATTCTCGTCATTCACCACAATTTGAAAACAGTTGAGATGTGCAGGATCTGTTTGTAGCCATACTGCCAGCCGACAGTTTCATCATGTATCGTCTCTGTCAATCTAAAGTCAATGTTCACATTGCCTTACCTGTCCATGTCAGACCAACACCGCCGATTCTAACGACTTGACTCCACAGAGGCAGGTTCTAACGACTTCACTCCACAGAGGAAGGTTCTAACAACTTGACTCAACAGAGGAAGATTCTAACGACTTGACTCAACAGAGGAAGGTTCTAACGACTTGACTTGACTCAACAGAGGTGAAATGAGTAAGCTGAACAGTATCTTATCAGTTAGCCTTAACTTATCAGTGGCCGACTAAACTACTGGCATCTGTGGGCAGAACAAGCAAAAAGAATCTGTGGACTAACTATACTACTAGTATCGCGATACAGACTGACGATACTACTAGTATCACGATGCAGAACAATACTAAGAGTATCGTGATACAGACTGACGATACTACTAGTGTCATGATATAGACTGAAGATACTACTAGTATCACGATGCAGAACGATACTACTAGTATCATGAAACATATGATGGTGTGTATTTATAATGTGCACCCCTCTCCAGACAGCTGTGTACTTTTTTTTAAAAAGTGCACAGGTTAGAAACAAAACACCAGAGCTCCAGATAACTTTTTTTAGTAATTGAGTTTTTACTTGAAGGTTTCTATTTTAACTGGGTTATTACATTTTCCATTGGCTAACCAAAATTTGTTCACTCATCTATTCATCACTCTATTGGGTTTTTCCCAAAATGAGTAAGCTTTTTGAGAGCTTCTAAATATAGGCTTGATTTGGAAAGTAAATTAGTGTGTAATTGTGTTTCGGAAATTAGCTCCGTTGTACGCATGCTGAGAAAGCTTCATTGGGTATCATTGTGCTGTTTTCAAACAATTGAGTTTTTTATTTAATGCATGCGTTTCTGTACGCAAGTTAATTGAAAGTAATGGGGTTTTGAATAGTGTTGGGGGGTATTTTACGCAAATATGCAGTAATCTGTAGCTCTGAAATACAGTATACAAGGTAATTTCAAACCTAAAATAGGTTTTATCTCTCAGACGTTCTTGGCAATAGTAACAGGTGATGTACAGGTCACTCATATCGTAAATAGACAGCATACTTGGCAATTATCTTGTAAAGAAATAAACAGAAGTTTTAGAGGAATGTCATTATATATATTATGTCTGTTGTAAGCGAATTGGCGAAGATGAACGTGGATGGCAGGGACTATGAATTACTTTGTACTGTCTGCCTGAACTATCCACAACTATCAGATCCGAAATCTTGACTGGTGGTGGGATTAAAAAATAAGTTCAGAAATGAAAAATTAAAATGTCAAGGGAAAAGGAGGAAATATGTTCACTGCTGTGAAAAGGAACGAACTTCAGTCAGCACAATATCATGCAAAATCACTGACTATATTTCTTACTTTTTCATTCATTAAGGGTCAGGGTCAGGGTCAGGGTCAGGGTCAGGGTTATTAAGGTTAATTGCAGAACATGGTAATAAGCGAGAACATGAAACTTTATTAAACGTCTAAGGGCAAGTGAAAACATTGCAGGACAAGTATAAAATAATATCTACTTGACCTGCAGGACAAGTGTTTTGAATATTTTGAGCCCTTGGCTGTATTATATAAAGGGGAACTCACCTTGATGCCTGATCAGGCTGTATAAAGGGGAACTCACCTTGATCCCTGATCGGGCTGTATAAAGGGGAACTCACCTTGATCCCGGATCGGGCTGTATAAAGGGGAACTCACCTTCATCCCTGATTGGGCTGTATAAAGGGGAACTCACCTTGATCCCGGATCGGGCTGTATAAAGGGGAACTCACCTTCATCCCTGATTGGGCTGTATGAAGGGGAACTCACCTTGATCCCTGATCGGGCTGTATAAAGGGGAACTCACCTTCATCCCTGATCGGGCTGTATAAAGGGGAACTCACCTTCATCCCTGATCGGGCTGTATAAAGGGGAAGTCACCTTGATCCCTGATCGGGCTGTATAAAGGGGAACTCACCTTGGTCCCTGATTGGGCTGTATAAAGGGGAACTCACCTTGATCCCTGATCGGGCTGTATAAAGGGGAACTCACCTTCATCCCTGATCGGGCTGTATAAAGGGGAACTCACCTTGGTCCCTGATCGGGCTGTATAAAGGGGAACTCACCTTCATCCCTGATCGGGCTGTATAAAGGGGAACTCACCTTGGTCCCTGATCAGGCTGTATAAAGGGGAACTCACCTTGGTCCCTGATCGGGCTGTATAAAGGGGAACTCACCTTGGTTCCTGATCGGGCTGTATAAAGGGGAACTCACCTTGATCCCTGATCGGGCTGTATAAAGGGGAACTCACCTTGATCCCTGATCGGGCTGTATAAAGGGGAACTCACCTTCATCCCTGATCGGGCTGTATAAAGGGGAACTCACCTTGGTCCCTGATCGGGCTGTATAAAGGGGAACTCACCTTGGTCCCTGATCAGGCTGTATAAAGGGGAACTCACCTTGGTCCCTGATCGGGCTGTATAAAGGGGAAGCAGCTTGTGATGTAGCCTGGGACCTCTGTGAGGGGAACACCTCCCGGCTGTCTGTCAATGTGACTGACAGGTGAAGCCACGCCCACGTTGGTGGTGTAGCTGCCAGGGGTGAAGACAGGGGCGTCAACAGACAGGGACGACGACTGAAACAAGCAATGCAGGGAGTGCCGTCACTGATGGAACAGTTCAGTCACAATATATCCACTCACGAGTATCACGATAAATCTAATAACATTAGATATTCTGTATGTGTATAGATACAAAATATTCTATCTGGACCTGCACTTGATCAATATGCTAATTATGAACCAAGCTGGTCCATTCAATGTTCAGAACTGAATTTTCTGCCGACTTATTGCCCATCAAAACCATGAAAATATCAAACAATAGAATTATTCTGTGGCAGTGGCACAAAATTTAGCATCAATATTCATAAATTTGTGTTGATTTAGTATCGATAATATTCACCGATATCGTGATATACGATGACATTCATACATGAAGCCCATCTCAACAGAGTGCCAGAAATTTGGTGAGTGAGTGAATATGGTTTTACGCCACTTTTAGCAATATACAAGCAATATCATAGCGGGGGACACCAGAAATGGGCTTCACACACTGTACCCATGTACTAATTGCGTAGATCGATGCTTATGATGTCAATCACTGGATTGTCTGGTCCAGACTTGATTCATTAGACAGATGTAATTTAGCTGGAATATTGCTAAGTGTGGTAGAAAACAACAAACAAAACAAACTAAATTCTGTAATAATTAATCACTGGATTGTCTGGCAGCTAATCCTTTAGATCCAAACTTTAAATGTTTCAAGACAGTACAGACAGAATAGTAAAGATTTTTTTCACATGAGTTAAGATGCTGACACAGACACAACAATAGGAGTGAAAAGGGACATACGGTTATATATTACTGGGATTGAAGTTGTAAGAAATCAGAAGCTGTTTAAAAACAAGGCCTAAAAACTTAAACATATTCAACTGACCCACAAGTACAGCATATTATTGACATATTGAACATAAGCACTATGTTCTGCGGTTTACTCAATGTTGGTAGACATTATTTATGAGAAAGTAATATGTTGTATGGTACATTGATGACAATCAATTGGGATTGTTGTTTATTGTTTGTGTATCGATAAATAGCCCCACGTGTATCGTATTGTGGGTCAAATATCGCGCTGCATCGGAATATCGGTGTATCGTTTCCCCCTTAGTATCATGTAGACAGAGTTCACGCTGTCACCAGTCTCCACCCCCACCTCCTTGTTGTCAGTCCCAACACGGAGCAAATTAATCTGACAAGTTAGTCTGAGTTCATATCTTTGGGGAATATTTCACTTTGGTTTGAGATTAAGTTGCTAGAAATAGATATTTAACCTCAAAGTAAGGCAAACAGTTATACCCCTCCACTAAATATAGACAACGAGAAACCCTGATTAAAAAAAGACAAGTTGACTTCATTTGAAGAATATACTCTATTGATAGTCACTGATGTGTGTCCGACAACAGACACTTCTCTGGTCCTTTATCCGCAACTCTACTGGGCCTAGCAGTCACATGAGTTACCGGTTCAAGACTAATTTTACCCGTACACAGGAACACATGTATATTATCAGCAACGGCAGATCACATGTTGGGGTTAAGTGAGCCCCAAGGGCAGATCCAGCATTTCTTTTGTTCGTTTGTTTGTTGTTTAACGCCACACTCAGCAATATTCCAGCTATATGACGGCGGTCTGTAAGTAATCAAGTCTGGACCAGACAATCCAGTGATTGACATCATGATCATTGATCTACGTAATTGGGATGACCACCTGATCCCATTAGTCGCTTCTTACGGCAAACATAGGTTGCTGAATTTCTAAAAGGGAAGGGTCCAAAATATCAAAACCATCTCTCAGTCAATTTTACTGCCAACAACATACTACAATGGTTTTCAAAAGGGTGTGTGTGTGTGTGTGGTTTAGTTTTCAGACAGAAGTATCCTCATAGGTTGTCGCTATTCAGGGAAGTACATTTTCAGGTCTCCATGGTTACAAAACCATTCTAAATTATGAGGAATATTCTGTACACACAGAGACGAAGCTGTTCAACAGAAAAGCATCCACAAAGTGTCGAAAAGTAAATACTGGGCACCTTTCCTTGTCTGCTTCACACACTTCACGTCATGAGGAACTAGCTTCCTGGTAGAAGTTGTACTGGCAGATCTGCAGGCGACCTCCACATGGGTCCTTGTAGCAGGCGACCTCCACATGGGTCCTTGTAGCAGGTGACCTCCACATGGGTTCTAGTAGCAGGTGACCTCCACTTGGGTTCTAGTAGCAGGTGACCTCCACTTGGGTTCTAGTAGCAGGTGACCTCCACATGGGTTATAGTAGGAGGTGACCTCCACATGGGTTCCAGTAGCAGGTGACCTCCACATGGGTTCTAGTAGCAGGCGACCTCCACATGGGTTCTAGTAGCAGGTGACCTCCACATGGGTTCTAGTAGCAGGTGACCTCCACATGGGTTCTAGTAGCAGGTGACCTCCACATGGGTTCTTGTAGCAGGTGACCTCCACATGGGTTCTAGTAGCAGGTGACCTCCACAAGGGTTATAGTAGCAGGTGACCTCCATATCGGTAATAGTAGCAGGTGGCCTCCACTTGGGTTATAGTAGCAGGTGACCTCCACAAGGGTTATAGTAGCAGGTGACCTCCACATGGGTTATAGTAGCAGGTGACCTCCACATGGGTTCTAGTAGCAGGTGACCTCCACATGGGTTCTTGTAGTATTCGACCTCCAATTGGGTTATAGTAGCAGGCGACCTCCACTTGGGTTCTAGTAGAGGGTGACCTCCACATTGGTTCCATTAGTGGTCAATATATACAGGGCTGATCGCCTACAGTAAAGCTGTTTTTTAGTGCAATTTGCCTACACTATGAAAAATGCACCCCTAACATTAATTGTGGACTAATTTTTTTGTGTATGTTATTATTACTTTAATATCTGTGACAAACCTGTGAGTTGCTTAGAAACATGTTGTTTATATACACCCAGAAGATTAAAGAGAAACTATGTATTTTCATAAGCTATTAATCCTTTTTAAACCATGGCTCTTTTGTCTTTGACCGTGGTCTAACTAACTGAATTGTTAGTTAAACACTTGACAATGACGGAACTTCTTTTTCCCCCTATCATTTGTCTTGATGATAGAACAATTTCATGAAAAATGTTTGTCGCCAGCTGGATTCGAACCCGCAAAGACTGCACTGTAAGGCTAACGAATGTAGTCTTCTGCCACAGCGACATGGGAGAAATGGTGTGAAATTAACAAGTAATAACTTACAACAGTACCAATTGCTTCTCCCTTTATGAACTGCGAAATGAGTTTTATGCAATTTTTATACAGTATGTTACTCTAGTATTTGTACAGTACTTGTGATTTTGTAACTTTTTGTTCAACGAAACGAACAGATCTATAGAAAAGAAATTACTATTATCTTGATCAGGGCTATATTTGCTCATAATAGGCCCATCAACATGGGCAAGTAATATTTAGTTGATTGACAAATGTGCTCGAGTTGGTCTAAAATGAATGGCATACTTGCCCCGAGACATGCATTTCATAACCCAAATCGGCAAAGTGCCTTTAACAAAACAATGTTTTTTAAGCATTTTAGGTGCCATAAATGTTGGACATGGTTTAAGGAATGTTAGACCACTCGGACCCTAGTGTCTAATAGTTGAAATGGTTGATTAAACCACTCGGTACTGCATGCCTCATGGTTTAATTAACCATTTCAACGATTAGACACTGGGTCCTTGTGGTCAAACCTGTACATAAAAAAGAAAAATAGTTGTGTTCACAGTCAAGCTATTGGTATCTAAACAAGGTACTCCAAACATAGTAAGAGATTAAAATATTTAGGAGATATTGTAATTTGATAAGATAAAAGTTTTGACAAAGTAAAAGTGTGGGATAAGGTCTGTGTCATTAATGGCCCTGTGGGTTCCAAGATAACACAACTTGTGTTTTGGTCACTTCCTGACTGCAGACAGGCTACAGAGGTCCGACTGTTCCAGACACTGGAGGAAGCTGTCACGGCCAATAGTAGACTTGCCCTCCATCCTGAATTAATCCAGACGGACATTGAAGTTGTCTGATGTACACAGATACCTCTCCCACTATTCCCAGGCCACATGGAGGAAGGTCCAGACAGACATGGAGGAAGGTCCAGACAGACATGGAGGATGGTCTAGACAGATGTTGAAGTTGTCTGATGTACACAGATACCTCTCCCACTATTCCCAGGCCACATGGAGGAAGGTCCAGACAGACATGGAGGAAGGTCCAGACAGACATGGAGGATGGTCTAGACAGATGTTGAAGTTGTCTGATGTACACAGATACCACTCCCACTATTCCCAGGCCACATGGAGGACGGTCTAGACAGACATTGAAGATGTCTGATGTACACAGATACCTCTCCCACTATTCCCAGGCCACATGGAGGACGGTCCAGACAGACATTGAAGATGTCTGATGTACACAGATACCTCTCCCACTATTCCCAGGCCACATGGAGGATGGTCTAGACAGACATTGAAGAGAAAACAGAACGAAGCAAGCTCGCTCAGCATCTCTATGGCGCCCGACCCCGACAACAAAAGAAGATCTACCGTGAAATGTAGCAACGTATCGCCAGATTCAAGGAACTTCTTCAGATCGGAGTAGCAAGCCTGCTCCAGTTCCTTGATGCTGCTGGGTTACAGCTAAAACTGGACTAAATGAGAATTGTTAAATCTAAGAGTGTGATCAATATCTGCGAACAGTGTCTAATATTTATCAGCGTTGGTGATCAGTAAGTATTGTAAGGGTTTTACAATGTTAAATACTTTCAGTGTCAAAATGTATTTTATATTTTCATTGTAAGGGTTTTCAAAAGTCAAATGTTTTTCATTACGGTATCATATATATATCTAATATATATACATGTATGTAATAACATTACAATGTTAGAAGCGTTAGATCTTGTCATTCTGATCAAATGTCAATTATAATGATTTAACCAGGGATAAATCTACTCCCCCCCCCCCCCCCCCGTCCCGCGTCTCGGACGCATTAAATTCTGACAGGACCCATATTTTTTATACGTGCGTCCTGCAGGACGCAAGGTTTTCATGAAACACTAATGTCCTTTTTTGTGGAAAATCATTATCAACGTTTTAAACGAAGTTTTCTTTTGTCTAAATGCGTGCATAAACGAGATTTTGGTCAATCGATTTTCCATGGAAAGTCCCAGTCTAAAAATAACTTAATACGCATGTGCGATGTTTTTCTTTAAAACGCGATAGCTGATTGGTTGTCAATAAGCAAGTTACCAATCGTAAGCAAACTTGTATATGACTTCGGTTTCTGTTGTTGATAATTTCTCTGGCAGTCAACAAAGCAAAGCTGTCACATTCTCAAAAAACTTTGTCATCGATGTTTGGTCAGAATGATACAATTGAGACAAGTGAAACTGAGCGAAGGCAAGTCTCAGTCAGCCAATGAACCTGTCAGAAAACAGAAAGTAAGAACATTCCAGTCAAATTGGCTAACTGCACACCGCTCGTGGTTGATATACGATAAGGAAATCGACTTCGTGTATTGCAAGCTTTGCACTGAAAATCGTAAAACAAATGGCATGACACGTAATGCTAAGTTCAGAAATTTCCAAAATGTACCTTGACCAGGCATATAAATAATAATGATCATAAATTGTCAATTCAGACTCCGAAACTTCGTGAAGATTTGCAGGTAGCACATGCACGTATGACAGCAAAACAAGATAAGGCAGCTGTCGCCTTGTTGAAATCTATACACTGGTTAGCTTGTGAAAACGTCCCCCTGACAAAATTTAAAAGTTTTATTAAACATTCCTGAGACCTTTGTAATGTCACGTGTTTGAAAATAAAAACAGTTTTGAAATATTTGTGGCATTTATTTTTATTTGGGACTCATTAAAGTTTCAAAGGGACTCATATATTTGAGATTGGACTCATAAATAAATAGTCAGTTCAGTGAGTCCCAGGACTCAGGTAGTTAAATTTGTAGATTTATCCCTGTTTAACATTGTGAGATGTGTCAGATATGTATCAGAGCTCCAGATAAGCTGCGTATCTGCGTAAAATATGCATCAGAAAAGCAGAAATATGCAGTAAAATAAAATCCAAGCGTATCAAATACGCAACGAACATTACAGATACACTACAAAATTAAAACTTGTGCGTATCATCAAGATATTGTGAAGTAACCCTGCGTATTCGATAAGCAAATCAGCAACTTACTTTAAAATTATAAACGGGCATTCCGTTACATCATGATCATTTGCCATCACACTTTTTTGTGGAAGTATCGTGGTATTTTTGAGTCCTATAAAGCTCTCGAACCCACATGACACCAGTTTGCAGGGACTAGACAAATAGTGTTTTTAAAAATTTAACTTAAATACCTACATGTGTAAAAACTAGTGGTTGACAGAAATTTGAATACCCAGATAGAATTACTGATACCCAATGATTTTAAAATGCATGGGTAAAATACCCACAACACAAAAAGCTTATCTGGAGCTCTGATGTATTATCATTTTTTAATTTGTTTGTTGACAATAGCATTTCCTTTATAAGTGCATTATGGGATAAAGGCTTTGCTATTGAGTTCCCTGAAACATGAAGTTGTTTTATACACTGTAGGCAAAATGCATGGCAGGCAATAGAAGTTACCCAAGAGGATTTCCCACTCGCTGTCAACAAAGTCCCCCAATGTTTCCCCCTTGCTGATCTGAAACCCAGTTTTGGGTCCTAACGCTAATTGGCATCTGGTGATTACGCAGAGAGACTGAGAGTTGAAGTATTGTTTCCCTAACCACAGGCCCAGAGTGTCATCTTCACACTCGGTTTTGTTTGTTTGTTGTTTAACGCCGCACTCAGCAATAATCCAGCTCTATGACGGTGGTCTATAAATAATCGGGTCTGGACCAGACAATCCAGTGATTGACATCATGATCATCTATCCACGCAATTGGGATCGATGACATGCATCAACCAAGTCGGCAAGGCAGATCACCCGTTCCCGTTAGTGGCCTCTTACGACAAGCATAGTTGCCTTTAACAGCAAGCATGGGTTGCTGAAGACCTATTAACACCATATATGAATTATTCTACCCCGGTCACACTAGGAACAAATATTTGAAGTTCATACCATTCCTGAAATTAAGCAACAGATCAAAATACTCCTTGTTTACCTTTTCTCTTTCTCCTTTTCTCATTTGTTCGACGCTCTTAGACTTCAGACATAGTTAACTCAAACTCTCACAGTCGCAACAATTTACAAATCGTGTTGTCAATATGTGATTACTTTTCGTGAGAAATCCCTTCATGTCCTACTGTGCCAAGTCATGTTCCGTGGACGAGGCCTCTCGCCAGGTGAAAACATTCCCGTCAGAAACGCGGCAAATTATGTTACCTGGTGAATTGATCATGGGATGTCCAAAGTACACACTACAGTTATTTTACACTTTACCGCGCCACGTACAGTTTAACGAGTTTTACTATGGAAAAAGCATGTGTATTCGATGTGTCGATGGCCCCGCCCATACCGGCAATGTTATTTGGAAAGCCATTACGCACTGGAATGTAGGTTACCTTTGATTATTGAACGCATATCTCACCTGGACGTTTGATGATTCCGTCATTTCAGAATATGTCCTTTCTACGTTATGAAATACCAATAATATATCGGTATCATCTTGGAAACTATCCTTGTTTTGGAAATTTTATCGAATACATTTCACAATATTTACCGGAAGTACATTGCCAAGTCACGTGATCTTTCTTGTTTAGGGGAGATAATTCATGTCTGTATACGTTTTGCCTAACAACATATAATTTGTTTCATATGGCTCGAGAATAAATTTATTTATTTATTTAAATTATTTCTTTGTCCGATAGTTTGTATTTTTGTGAAAGGTGCATGAGGTCGTACAAGTACCTGTGCATGATGTACAGTCTTACAAATACACTACACTGTGAATGGTGATAACGTTGCGTTCAAGACCTTTGCACTTCTCCAGAGCGACGTGGAAACACACGTGTGTTGATGCTTGTACTCGTCCGGATCTACACCGCATTTATAGTGCTAGCCCACTGAGCCACAATGCAGCAGTTTTACATGGATACCTCCAGTATCGACATACCGACCCCGACCCCGACCCCGAGCCGACCATAGTGCCGAGCGCCAGGCAGGGGAACAACAAGTACCATCTCAAAACGATTTTTGGTGTGATGCTTCTTGAACCACCAACCTTCCGCTCTCCAGGCAGACGCTCGATCCACATGACCACCGAGGCGATCCAAGACACTTTGAAAGCCCCGTATGCATATTAGTAAACTAGTTGATTGTTTGTTGTTTAACACCACAGCAATATTCCAACTATATGATGGCGGGAAAATTATATGAAAGGAAAATTGAAAATCAGGAATGACACCAGGTGTCCGCGAAAAGGATGAGCATGTCCTGCCCTTCCAGTAGAACCCGCCACTCATTTGATTTGCATTTAAAACAATTATGCGTTTGTTGATCGATTCCTGTCCTGGAATTCAGCGATTCTCATTTCTGTATCGCAAAACGAAGTGAACCGGCCTGTTCCGAATGTAAATAATAAGGACCGCGCCTTAAATTGTCATGGGTATTTGAAAATTCCTGTTGTTTCCGAGCGCCATAATATTTACATCAGAGCAGGAGTTTCAGCGGAGGGACATTTGCTTTCTGATTGACATTTGATTGGCTCAAGAACACGGTTAGAAAGTTGACATTTGATTGGCTAAAGAACACAGGGTTAGAAAGTTGACACACGGTGTTACACACGGGGCTACACACGGGGTTACACACGGGCTACACACGGGGTTACACACGGGCTACACACGGGGTTACACACGGGCTACACACGGGGTTACACACGGGTTACACACGGGCTACACACGTGGTTAAACCACGGGCTACACACGGGGTTACACACGGGCTACACACGGGGTTACACACGGGCTACACACGGGCTACACACGGGGCTACACACGGTGTTACACACGGTCTACACACGGGGTTACACACGGGCTACACACGGGGTTACACACGGGCTACACACGGTCTACACACGGGGTTACACACGGGGCTACACACGGGGTTACACACGGGCTACACACGTGGTTACACACGGGGCTACACACGGGGCTACACACGGTCTACACACGGGGTTACACACGGGCTACACACGGGGTTACACACGGGGCTACACACGGGCTACACACGGGGTTACACACGGGGTTACACACGGGCTACACACGGGCTACACACGGGGTTACACACGGGCTACACACGGGGTTACACACGGGGCTACACACGGGTTACACACGGGGTTACACACGGGCTACACACGGGGTTACACACGGGCTACACACGGGGTTACACACGGGTTACACACGGGGCTACACACGGGGTTACACACGGGCTACACATAATCAGCCAGTCACACTGAGACCACACAATCCTCACTTTACTCGGCTCTTACTTGGCACTTCTTGATGCTTGATTATATATTGGGAATCTTCTGTTAATCTGTAACAGCGCCATGCATGTACCTGAAAATACCGGCGACTTTAACATTATCATGTGTGTGTCAACACCGGCAACTGTAAAATTGTTTTACCGAATGGTCGCCCATAGACCCCATTGCTCAGAATATTTTGATCCAGAATTTTATTGTTCGATTGAAGACGTTGAAAGTAGTCTAAAATAGTTAACAGGAAACTAGTATCTCTCAATATCGCACACGGGCCGGTAGCTATAGATGCAATGGTAACACACATTGTGATCGATGGAGTGTGTCACACTGCGTATTGCCAGACTGCGCTGGCTGTAGATACGACAAGGGAGCTGCAGATCTTGAGCATGGGACGATCATTCAGCCAAGTCTGTCGACGAAATTTTAAGTCAAAGAAGGCCCGGGCTATCTCCAAATTGCCCCCGTGAACTGGACCGTTATGTATGGGCGGCCATTCGGTCCCCAAATAGGCAAATGTTACAACTAAAGTATTGAATGTTACTTTGTCCTATATTTCAACTTTGTATATGTTTTACCTAATGGCCGCCCGTAGTTAGATTTAGTGTGACCCGTTCGGGAATATAGGGCGGTACAGTGAGACGGGTGGTACAGTGAGACGGGTGGTACATTGACAAGGGTGGTGCAGTGACAAGGGTGGTACAGTGACAAGGGAGGTGCACTGACAAGGGTGGTGCAATGACAAGGGTGGTGAGGTGACACGGGTGGTACATTGACACGGGTGGTACAGTGACAACGGTGGTGCATTGACACGGGTGGTACAGTGACACAGGTGGTACATTGATACAGGTGGTACAATGACAAGGGTGGTACAGTGACAACTGTGGTACAGTGACACGGGTGGTACAGTGACATGGGTGGTACAGTGACAAGGGTCGTACAGTGACACAGGTGGTACAGTGACGGGTGGTACAGTGACAAGGGTGGTACAGTGACAAGGGTGGTACAGTGACAACGGTGGTACAGTGACGGGTGGTACAGTGACAAGGGTGGTACAGCGACACATGTGGTACAGTGACAAGGGTGGTACAGTGATACGGGTGGTACAGTGACAAGGGTGGTACAGTGACAAGGGTGGTAGAGTGACAACTGTGGTTCAGTGACCCGGGTGGTACAGTGGTACAATGACAAGGGTGGTACAGTGACAAGGGTGGTACAGTGACATGGGTGGTACAGTGACAAGGGTGGTACAGTGACACGGGTGGTACAGTGACAAGGGTGGTACAGTGACAAGGGTGGTACAGTGACACGGGTGGTACAGTAGTACAATGACAAGGGTGGTACAGTGACAACTGTGGTACAGTGACACGGGTGGTACAGTGACATGGGTGGTACAGTGGTACAATAACAAGGGTGGTACAGTGACAAGGGTGGTACAGTGACAAGGGTGGTACAGTGACAAGGGTGGTACAGTGACAAGGGTGGTACAGTGACACGGGTGGTACAGTGACAAGGGTGGTACAGTGACAAGGGTGGTACAGTGACACGGAAGGTACAGTGACACGGGTGGTACAGTGGTACAATGACAACTGGTACAGTGACAAGGGTGGTACAGTGACACGGTTGGTACAGTGACAAGGGTGGTACAGTGACACGGGTGGTACAGTGACAAGGATGGTACAGTGACAAGGGTGGTACAATGACAACTGTGGTACAGTGACAAGGGTGGTACAGTGACAAGGGTGGTACAGTGACACGGAAGGTACAGTGACACGGGTGGTACAGTGGTACAATGACAACTGTGGTACAGTGACAAGGGTGGTACAGTGACACGGTTGGTGCAGTGACAAGGGTGCTACAGTGACACGGGTGGTACAGTGGCAAGGATGGTACAGTGACAAGGGTGGTACAGTGACACGGATGGTACAGTGACACGGGTGGTACAGTGACAAGGGTGGTACAGTGACACGGGTGGTACAGTGACAAGGGTGGTACAGTGACAAGGGTGGTACAGTGACACGGGTGGTACAGTGGTACAATGACAACTGTGGTACAGTGACAAGGGTGGTACAGTGACAAGGTTGGTACAGTGACAAAGGTGGTACAGTGACAAGGGTGGTACAGTAACAAGGGTGGTACAGTGACAACTGTGGTACAGTGACAAGGGTGGTACAGTGACACGGGTGGTACAGTGGTACAATGACGGGTGGTACAGTGACAATAGAGGTACAATGACACGGGTGTACAGTGACATAGGTGGTACAGTGACACGGGTGGTACAGTGACACAGGTGGTACAGTGACACGGGTGGTACAGTGACGAGAGGTACAATGACAAGGGTGGTACATTGACATAGGTGGTACAGTGACAAGGGTGGTATAGTGACACGGGTGGTACAGTGACAAGATAGACACAATGACAAAGGTGGTACAGTGACAAGAGAGGTACAGGTGGTACAGTGACATAGGTGGTACAGTGACACGGGTTTTATAGTGACACGGGTGGTACAGTGGCAAGGGTTGTACAGTGGCAAGGGTGGGACATTGATAACTGTGGTACAGTGACACAGGTGGTACAGTGACATAGGTGGTACAGTGACAGGGATGGTACAGTGAAACAGGTGGTACATTCACGACGGTGGTACAATGACGAGAGGTACAATGACAAGGGTGGTACAATGACAAGGATACAGTGACGGGTGGGACAGTGACGGGTGGGACAGTGGCAAGGGTGGTGCAGTGACAGGTGGTACGGTGACGGGTGGTACAGTGACACAGGTGGTACAGTGATGGGTGGTACAGTGACACAGGTGGTACAGTGACGGGTGGTACAGTGACACAGGTGGTACAGTGATGGGTGGTACAGTGACACGGGTGGTACAGTGACACAGGTGGTACAGTGACACAGGTGGTACAGTGACGGGTGGTACAGTGACACGGGTGGTACAGTGATGGGTAGTACAGTGACACAGGTGGTACAGTGACGGGTGGTACAGTGACAGGTGGTACAGTGATGGGTGGTACAGTGACAAGGGTGGTACAGTGACAGGTGGTACAGTGACACAGGTGGTACAGTGACGGGTGGTACAGTGACACATGTACAGTGACGGGTGGTACAGTGACACAGGTGGTACAATGACGGGTGGTACAGTGACGGGTGGTACAGTGACACAGGTGGTACAGTGATGGGTGGTACAGTGACAAGGGTTGTACAGTGACACAGGTGGTACAGTGACACAGGTGGTACAATGACGAGTGGTACAGTGACACAGGT